GGAGGAGGAGGAGGAGGAGGAGGAGGAGGTATTTCAACAAATGTGAAAAATGTAAAAAAATATCAATGTTTTATAACACTACTCAAATACCCATCTGCCCCTATGTAAAATAGCGTAATGCCTTTACCCTATTCATGATAATGAATCCATTGATTTACCCTTTGGAAATTCCTTCTATTATACTTTATATAACAATACCATATAAACAATCTACATTCAAAGCTATTTATGAAAATTCATATGAAAAAAATTGACAAGTTATATCATCGCCAAGAAAATTTTCAGAAAAATAACTATACTCTCTGGTTGCTAACTCTTTCAAACCTGCACTAGATCAATTGGAAAAACAGTGCACAAGATCAATTCAAACAAAAAACAACACCTCTTCACATCCATTACTTCTTTACACAGATAGGTTTTTGGAACACATTTAGTGCAAAGCTCTAAAAAATATATTTTACTGAAACGTCTCAACCTTTAAGATCAAACTCGGGATCACAGATAACAACCTATTGAAACTTTCACTTTAATGAGCAGTTTTTAATGACAGTTCTTAATCAATTCAATATTTTCATCTTGAAAACAATCTATGAAGCAACATATTCTAATTTATCAGTTACTTTAGGAAAATCGCATAAAAATGTAACAGTAAGTCACACATTCATTTTTCACAACTGACAGTTTCTACTATGCTACACAATGAAGGTTCACCTTAGTTGCAGATGGATGTTTAAAGAAAACAGAAAATATCTTAAGCATTTGTAAAAAAAAAAAAAAAAAAAAGAAAAATTACTTACTGAATACAACTCCATAATTCCATCACCAGTGTATTTTTTAGTTTGATTCAATGGAACAAAATTGATTTCAGAAGGTGGTTTTGCATCAAAGTAAAAAGGGCCATTTATAGTATCCAGGTCGTGTGTGCCAATAGCCACTAGAGACCGTTTGCGGCAGATGTTCTGATGCAATTTGTCTTGCAGGTCAATGAAATTATCATAGGCATCTTGTGTCAATTTCACATTACGCAAAATTGCTGCTACTGCATGAGGTCGAATACGCCTAGTCTACAAAGAAAATAATATAAATGTCCCAGAATATACTAAAGAAAAAAAACTAATGATGATATTTCTATATTCAAAAATTTAACACTTTTGCATTTGCCACATCAACACCTTTATTAAAATAGTAAAGGAATGTAATTTTTTTCTCCTTTAATCTTCAATACAGATCAAAATTTTCAAATGGATTGGTTAGAAATTCTTCTTTAGATAAATAGCATTATTGTTAAAGAACATGGAATAACATTTTAAAACCATCACAAGGAAAACTTACGAAATAAAATGTATTTCATCTTCACAATCCAACAGAATATTTAAATTCCCACAAGGGTAGACATATAAACATAATATTTTGAAAGAATATTTACTGATTCAATGCAACAATACAAAGTTGTTAAAAACAATAATCTGTGGAACCTAGAAGTGTAGTGCTTCTCTTCCCAAGCACAATCAATACACTACTAAATAATTCAATAATATAACATAATTACCAACATAAAATTTGAATCTAATAGCACACAAAACAACTTAAACATAATACTCATTTGTATGAAAAGTAATACGTCACCAAATTCAATTATACCTACAAATAGTGATATAAAGACATGAAAATGTATACAACAGAACGTAGTTAAACCAGATCAACTTCAGCAGGGGCCAATCCAAGTTAACTAAAATCCAGGTATCCAGAGAATGATAAAAAAATTTTTTTAAAAAAAAAAAAAATGTAAAAAGAACAGACTTACCAAACATACGTTTAATGAAGTTTAAAAATTATAATTGACACACTTTCAACTAAAAATACATTGTAATATGGATTTACACAACACACATTACCAAAAACTAGTTGGTGGCTGGGAGAATGCTCGGAGCATTGTCAGGGCCATGTCCTCCCCTGCCCCTTTCACATCCAAGGATGCCATCATTAGAGGCAAGGGGAGGAGAAGGAGACAGTTGGCAGATGGAGTGAGGGTAATGAAATCTAACGCTGGCAAGCAAATTCAAGTAATATACCTACTCAGAATAATGGCTTTTCATCTATATGACAAAACTTCATTTACTGTACTAAACTATTTTTTGCCAAAACTGGTCCAGGTTACAATACAAAATGTTATTTACAAAGTTTATAAGGATATATACCTCAGGTTTTATAATAAGCTTCTGGACACACCCTGCAGGTTTCACAGCTTTGAACTGAGGAGGAGGCATTCTGAAAAAGATTGATCAAAATCAGAATTTCATTCAATGCACATTCATTCCTCAATAATTTACATTTTTTAAATAACTTCTGACCTCAAAAGGAAAATTATCAAAATAATTCAAGCATGTTACAAGCTTGTAAAAACCGAAAAGCTCCCAGCTCAGATAATTTAAATATAGAACTATTCAAATATCTACCAGAAGAAGCCAAGTATAGGCTTCTAGATTTTATAAATCGATGCTGGCAACAAGAAAAAGAATACCAATGAAATGGAAGAAAGCAGTAGTAATACCCTTTTTAAAAGAGGACCAAGAACTGACTGCGAAAATTATAGAGGTATAAGTCTTCTGAATATGGCATATAAAATATATGGGAAGATAACAGTAAATAAATTGAGAAACATTGCAGACAGTATATTACTTGAACAAACAGGTTTCCGGAAAGGAAGATCCTGCTCGAATAATATCTTTATATTAAAACAAATAATAGAAAATGAAGAGAATACAATCTAAAGACCTACATAGTCTTTATTGATTACAGTAAAGCATTTGATAGTGTACACAGAGGAAAACTATGGAAAATTATGAAAAAAAGAGGAATACCATTGCACTTGATCGAAGTTATACGAAATATATACCTAGGAACACAGATAATCATAAAACTAAAATCGCTAACTAAATTATTGCACAAGGAAATATTAATAATGGGGTCAGACAAGGCTGTTGTATTTCACCTGTACTTTTTAATCTATATCTAGACAATGCTGTGAGAGAATGGAAACAACAGATCATGAAACTTAATATAGAAGACAATTTTAAAGGAAAAAATTTTATTACAACTTTTATGTTTGCTGACGACCAGTTTTAGCGTTAGTTGCAGATAAAGAAGATAATCTGCAAAGGGCACTATATGAACTATATAAAATAACAAAGCAATATCATTAAGTATATCTACAAATAAAACCAAATCCATGGCATTCCAAGGCTCACAACCTTTAAGATGTAAATTCATATTAGAAAACAAAACTATTGAACAGGTTAATACCTTTAGATTTCTAGGATGTGAAGTATCATATCTTGGCGAAGTTGATATTGTCAGGAAGATAGAAAGATTCAATATGATGTGTGGCACCATCAAAAGAGCGCTCAAAGGAAAGGTCTGCAAAGACACAATGCTAAAGTTTTATAGAGTTATGACAATACCTTGCGGATTTTTTGGAAGCAAAAACTGAACTATGAACTCCAGAACACACAGTAGACTTCAAGCAGCCGAGATGAGATTTTTAAGATCAGTCCTGGGAGTAACAAGAATGGACAGATTAAAAAACGAGACCATCCAGAAAAATATAGGAATTTACAACTTAAATGAAAAAAATTAAGGAATACAGAGAACAATGGAAAAAAACACCTGGAAAGAACAGAAGACAATTGTATTCCAAAGCAAGTGCTTCAGTACATCGCTAAAGGAAGAAGAAGCATTGGTAAACCCAGGAGAAGATGGTTAGATCAAGGAGGCGCAATGGACTAACCGGTCTAATGCTTGAGGGAGGAGGAGAAGAAGAAGAAGACGAAGAGAATTCAAGCATGTAAATGAAAATAAAAACATAAATGTAAACACAATGAGCTTCTCTTCCTTTATTAGAAGAGACCACTGTATATATTCAAAGTATTCAGGAATTCCCTTGTAACTCATAGAATTTAGTGCTGCTGAATTTAGTTCCTCCCTATTTATTCAAAATTCCACACTCGAAACATCATTATGATTATCCAACAGAAATACAAACTACATGATCAATATGAACTGACCTAATTGAACATAACTAAAACTATTCAACTTGGCCAATCAACTTAAATTACATTCCTAGCTTTCTGATCTCCATCTCCAACATTTGTTGAAAAATAAAAAAAAGGTTGGCACCTTCAAGAAATATTTATATACAATTATTGGGGACTTTTTTGTGTCCTTCCTTGCCCAGAAATATCTATATTATTCTTTCTATGTGCACAGAAATTGAAGAAATATATTGACCCTCCAGCAATCTGAGAGGTGCATTGGTCATGTCAGAGGTGTCTATGGTTTCACTGGAAACCCAGGATATCAAGGGAAAATATTGAAACATCTATTCTAGTAATTTCCAATGTGTATTAAAATTGACAGAAAACTATTCAGCCTCTAGAAATGTGAAAGTGTCTATGGTTTTGTTACATACATGGACATCTAGAATGAAGGGAAAAATACAAAACAATGAAACAGTTTCAATTTTGACTGAAAAATGAAAATAAAATGGTAGTTGCGTAAACAACATTAATTCTAAAAAAGTACATTTCACAGGAGAATGTTAAAACTATTTACCACTGAAAACAATAACACAGGAATGTCCTCAACAAGAAAAATACAAATCTCTTGTAGAACACTATTCATAACCAAAAAATAATGACCATATCTTTTTTCTCTGCTTCACTGAAAAATTTTAAATTTTGTGGACTCGTGTTGTTATTGCAAAATACAAATATAAGTCAACTTTAATTTTCACTGTATATATGTTCAATAGGATAAATTTTTGCATAATCTGATGAAGTACAATAAAATTTAATCTTATTTCTAAATTTGTCTTCCTCTATTGACCCAAAACTTGAACAATTTATGAAGTCCTGATTAAAATGTCTCGGTTCTTCTGGAATATATTTTCAGAATTCGCATCAGTTTTGTTACATCCTGTAATTTTTGTATATTTAATGCTACTATCTTATTGTAAGCTTTTTCTGAAGCTAATTTTGAAGGTACGTTTTAATTCTTATGAAGTGAAAATCGAAATATCATGAGACCACCAATCAACTCCTAACATTCTACTTTTTCTTGAAATGTTTGACTGTATTGGAAACACATGCAATTTGGAACAGAAAAAGTTACTTTCCATTTTGCTTCTACAGACTTTCCAAGGCTGTCTTCTGACCAGCAAGGTCGTTTGGGCCACCATCTTTTATACTCTATTATATCTTTTGTACTAATGAGTTTGACTTTCGTATCTGATATGTGTATCTCTATCAACGATATGAAAGTATCACATCAAGTCTGCACAAGCTATTAACAGCTATTAATGAGAAACAAATGAACATCAGTTTCTAGTGTTAAGTCAATGCCACTGATCAGTGGCCATAAATACTGATAGTCTTAGTTCCAGACAGGCAGATGCCGTCCCTTACTGTCAATTGCATAAACCACTTCAGTCCTGAACTCGTGTGGTTATTGCAAAGACTGCTTAATCTAGCACTTATATTCGCCCAATACTAATATGGGTACTAATGTTTTATATGTGTCAGAGCATGTGTCTATCACCTATGAATCTCTTTCTGACTATAACTCAAATATTGCAAAAAGTGGACTGATGTTAATGCAACTTTGGATTCAAATACTCGACCATGTTATTTGCACATATTACATACTGCATGTACTGCAGTACTGAGTACTGAATTCTCGTACTCCAAATGAGGTGAAAATCAACAATTTGTGAGTTCTTCATTGGCAATAGAAAAACATCTATCCACACGTGAGTCTGTGGTCAACACTAGCGCCTAAAATGTTCAGATGACTTTCTCCAAAGCCCTGATATTCCCTCATTAATCAAAGAGGAGGCCCAAGAACTTTGAAATGTATATTTTGTTTCTGGGGAACACTTTACATTAAACATTTTATTTTTAAAATTTACTACAAATATTTTGATAATTTTTTGTCTGTAACAGCAAAGGGCACTTAAAAAAATGGTGTACATTTCATTTATGTTGGACTTCTGAATTTTTTCAAAAAATTTTTTTGGCATGTTCCTTTAGTTACAATATTGAAGCTAGACCAATTTTTTCTCAATGAAATCTGTTCTCCAATGACAGATATTTAAATAAAGTCATGTACAATGTTTTGAAAATATGAGTCTTTTTTGCGTAATTTTGCATGGAATAGAAGTAATTTTTACTAAATAATTTTCTCAAAAAGGTTTCCAAATTTATTGTTTTCTCGAATAGAGCAGAGTGTGCTTCTATAAATGGTGCATTTTCATTTAACTCATTGAATGTTAAAAAAGTGTGAATAACCGGGGAAAGTATGAGCTATTTAAGCCCTATTTCATATTTTGCCTTCGGAATTATCACTTAAAATGTGACGATGTTCTGCGTTTGCACTTAAGATCTGCAAGTATTTCATTAATCAGCTTCCAACCTTATCTGCTCCTCTTCCAACTTGATTCTCATTTTGTCCTTTCTGTTTCCAACTTCCACCACTTGACAGAAATTAATCATCGCTACTTCCTACAACAGTTTCTTCTTCAAATTCACTTCTGTTCACAAACTTAAAATTAAATATTGCTGTAGCATTATTAATTGCTTGTGATTGCCTCTCATGGAAAAAAGCGGGCCAACAAGAAAATTGTAACAACACTGCCTTATAATTCCACATTCAACCACCAAACAGCAGCTAATTAAATATCACATTACAAACATTAGTCTTCTAGTAATCACCTGCTGACCTAAAACAATATCTCAAATTTTATGGGAGTGTGGCTTCACTAATGCAACACCTCAATTGATATGATTGTTCTCAAGGACGAGACTTAGTGCATGGGACACACCTACACGACATCATCGTTGGAATAAAATGAAAGAATCATCATAAAAAAAAGTTAATAGTAAGTGCTGCTTCTAAATGTAATTCAAAATAATTAAACAACTAAATAGTCTGCATATTTTATTAACAAGTATCTTATTCATAAATGTAATTCTCCCAACACAGCATCATTCAAGCTAAATCAGAAAGAAATTAGCCCTAGATGGATGAATCACTGTTTTTGACTCTACAAGAACAAGATTGTTCATCTACAAAAAATATCAAAATCTATTTTTCATATGATTCTTTATTTCTAATAATTATAAAAGAAAGTAGTTTAAGCTTTTCATAAAAAGCATATCTTCAACCATATTATATTATTTGATCTTTGGCTTAGGAATTAATTAGTTTTCAATTTTACAAGTAGTTTGATGAAACAACTTAAGGACCACAAGAATAATTTGCAAAAAGCAATTAAAATGCAGAAGAAGGGAATATTAATAAGCTGCTACAGCTGTGAATATTTCACTACTTACTTTCCTTGGAACACAAGAAGTCCTTGAACCAAACCTTCCATGCAAAGAAGATCATATCGATTCGCAGGAATGTCAATTCTATAAATGACATCCTCAGAAGCATCACCTATTCGATCTTCTCCTTGTTCCTTCATGATCATAGTTTTTTCAGTTGTCTACACAAATAAATGAACTGCATGAACAGGTGACACAGATAAAACCTTTATGTACAAGTAATAATTACTTCGTAAAATTCACACACAATTTACAATTATATGAATTCATTCATTCACTTGAGTACTATTGTCATACAAAGATACAAATGCACCCTTTCAGAAGGCACCACAGATTAATTTAACTAATCTCTTATGAAAATACAAAAGTAATGAAGTAACACTAACCTAAGACAAAATTCAATGAAAGGGCAGAGAAAGAAAAATACTATAAATTACATTGAAAATTTTAATTTACTAGGAATGGAAATGTGAATACACACGTATTTAACACAAATCTATACTTTTGAACAGATGGTAATGCAAAAATATGCTATCACTGAAACTGTTAATTTATAATGTATGCAGACATTGAACCAAACTATATGGGTATTCACAAATAAACACCAATAAAAAGTAAACTTTAAATACAACTGTTCCTTCAATACTTACGACTTCATCGAGTTCCAATCCAAACTCGAAGCACAAAGTGGCAAATTCTTCATCAGCTATTAAAAAATAATACGGTATTAATGAAGGTCTTCTGAATTTAATTCACGCGAAGATAACGTGGTTGCAATGGTAATACTTACTGTATGTTTGACCCAATCTGTCAAACAGTAAATCACGTTTAACTCCTATTGTCGGCATTTTGCTTTCAAAATAACTGTGCAACTAAAATAGTGAAGAACTTATTATGCACAAATAAAAGTTAAACGAAGACACGTGTATCACAACTTTCCTTCACGCATTTCAGTCCCCGCCCTCAGCTCCGTACACACCACCACATTACACGTGCAGCATCATGCCTCACCGACAGCCAGCTTCAGGTCCCTTCCTCCCCCTATATCCGTTGCCATCGGTTGCCCACTTCTATGTACCCACCATGCCACCAGCCTTTCAGCCTGCTTTCAGCGCTCTTGTACCATAGCCTGGTATATACGAAAATCCTTACCAGAGTGTACCACGGACAGTACCTCACGAGTCAGGAGTACGGACCCCGACCAGCACCGCACATAACGTTAAAGCACCATCGATCTTCTGCGCAAGCGCAGTTCAAGTTTTGTGCCACTTTAGTGCATATGCGCATGCGCAGAAGATCGATAGTGCTGTCCGCTCTGGCGTGCACCAGTGGGAGGGAGGAACTTTTGCGCATCATATCCGACTACAGCTAATAAGATTCAGACACTAGTTTGCGTCACATCATTAGCGGGAATTTTAAAGTCAGCCAAATACCAGCCATATATAACACTTTATACACGACGTTGAAACAGATTTATGAAGCATTTCTTTTAAATATTGCTCCTTGAATATCTTCATCGTGTTATTTTTGGTTGGTTACGGTTGAAATTTGTCACTTTGTACCTCTTTCAAAATGTTTCTGAGAATTCTCAAAACTAATTACGAAGTGAATTGTGAAAGCGATAGTCCACCTAATTCCGGTACAACAATACGATTTTAGGAAATAGAGAAACACTCTCCAGGCGATTCGTAATTTATTAGACGATATACAAGGAACCCTTAAACAGCCCAAAGGAAAATACTACGCAGTGTTCGTTGACTACACAAAGGAATTTGATCTGAATAGAAAAAGGGTACTGGAAAAACTCGCATACTTAATAGGAGAAACGTTCAACATCACAAGGATACTAGGTTCTGGCTTACGACAAAGTAAACATATATGACGGAGTCTGTTTCTCTAAAGACATTGTTCAAACAAACGGAGTAATAATATAATAATATTTATTGAGTCACATATACAATTATAATCGTGTATGACGAGTCTGTTCCGTCCACGACACAAAGCCCTCGCGCAAAGGCCGATGGTCGCTCCCTCCCCCCGGAGGCGGCCGCTCCCGCAGGGTGCGCCCGCCGCACCCACACCGCACTCGCGCCGCCGGCCCTTCCCCCGAACGGCGCCCCTCCCGCTTTCTCTAAGGCTGCAGCTTCTGGCTTGCAACGCCAACCTTCACTTGTGCCAGTCAGACTTGCGAGACCACCGTCGAGAGGCACAGGCCACACGCCTGCCCGGGCCTCTTCGCCTGAGCAGTTCTACGCTTACAAGCATTTCATGTTTTGCGCTCCGCGCACCTGTAAAACCCGCTGCCTTCGGCACGTGTACGTTGTAAACCTGCCATCGGCGGTACTACAGAGCGGTAGCACAGACCCGACTCACCCCGGTCAGTCACGGCTGGCGAGAGAATGTGTGTTACCGCACAACACATATCCTGCTTGTCAGGGCCCACCTAGCGGCCAGGTTCCGTGGGTCAAGCTTTGCTGGACAGACTCTCCGACGTGTGGGACGCCTGCATTCCAAGTTCGCCCGGGAGAGGAGCACGCGCTGTCCCTGGCATGCCGCAGCCACCCCATCAGCAGGTATTCGCAACACCGTGTGCCCATGGAGTGTAGTCGCGACAAAGTTGCACGATCGTCACCTTCACGGTGATAAGTAAACATAGAAGAACGAAGAACATCCATTTTATAATCATTCATCAAATTTCCATTTCTGGTAAAATTAATATTTCATTGTCATATCACTCGCCATTCACGTAGACTAGAAATCCAATTTTCAATAAATCGTATTGCAATTGGAATTCTTGTAACTTTTGTCATCCTCCCTCCCCCCCCCCCCCCCCGGCACATCACGGCCCGGGTGCGGCGTTCAATTTACTTTGTATAGAGAAAGGGCCTTTCAGTCTGCTCGCGCTCCCTTCCCCGTTCCAGGTATTCTTCTCCCTTCTCTGTACAGAGTCAATATGATGCCTTGGGTGGAGAGTGCGAAGTTATATACTGTTCAGGAGCAAACAAGGGGCCATCTCAGCATTTGCTCAAAGGACCAGGGAAACTGAATAAACCTGATCGAGAAGGGGTCATGGGCCTAGAAATACAATACTTGTTACAGTTAGATTAAGATATTATACAGTAGATAAATTATCTGCTAATAATTAACATTTCAATGTGTTATTTTTATGCTACTACTTATAATAATTATATTAATAATAATTACATTAATAATACATATCAATTATTTTTGCAAATACATCAAATTTAACAATAGTAGTATATTCTATATTTTTAACTTGAAATGGTGAGGAGGCACGTTTTAACCAGTCTTTTCTTCTTCAATTCTCCTTCTATTTCACAGGATGTGATATGCAGTTCTTTTTTCTTTGCTTCAGCTGAACAGTTCACATGAAACAGAAAGCGTAATGGGATAAGAAATTCTTTTTTTTTTTTTTTTTAAGGGAAATGTTGTAATTTGAACATTCATTTATACTGTAGAATATGTTGTTAAGCAGGAAAGCTTTCAATTTACTTTTAAATGTATGAATTGTGTTTTATGTCTTTGACTATCATTGCCTAGTTTGTTGGAAAGTGTAATGCCTCTATTTGGGGTACTTTTTTGATAAAAGTAGTTTCAGAGTGGGAACGTGTAGGTTATCCTTTTGACGGGTGTTGTAGTTTATGTACATCAGAATTTAAAAGTAAAAGTGTCTTTGTTTTTTCATGAGAATTTTCTTTGTGAAGACCACTATTTCAAATATGTACATGCATGGTAGAGGATTTGCAAGACTCCAGCTTATGAGTGCTGGTCATTGTTTCGCAGTATTCTTTTTTGGATAATGAATGTGCGAGTGCTTTCAGGGGCATTTCCCCAGAATATTATTCCATTATTTTAGGTGTGAGTGCACATTTGCAAAATACATTGTACGAGTGTCTCAATGTTGCAGCTTGACCTGAGGGTGTAATGGGGCATAGCAAGATTTGCTGAGCTTCTTGTTAAATTTGAGATGTGAGTTCCATTTTAGGTTTTCTTGAATTGTTAGTCCGAGGAAGGTTGTTTCATGAGATATCATTACAGGGTTATTGTTTATGAGCAAATGCTGTGAGAGTTTTCTTTAGAATCGAGGATTCATGAAATTTAGAGAGACGTCTTGCTGGTGTTTATGATGAGTTTGTTGTCTTGAAACCATTTTACTAGTGCTGCAAAGTTTTGTGAGTTTCTTTTTCTAATGATTGTTTGTTTTTGCTTTGATGATGATGTTTGTGTCATCTGCAAACAAAATTATTTGTTGTTCCTTAAAGCCAAAGGCATGTCATTTATGTATATAAGGAATAGTATTGGCCCAAGGATGGATTCTTGCAGGAACTCCACCAATTTATTATGGAGGACAGGAGTAGTATGAGGAAATTTTGTTTTCTTTAGTGTGGTTGGAGGGCAACTATTTGGTCTACGGTTTGATAAATATGATTTGATCCATTGGCCTTGCAAGCTCGAATCCATAGCATTTCTAGTTTTCTTAAAAGTATATGATGGTCAATGATGTCAAAGGCTTTTGTAATGCAGGAGTCCATACTGTTTGACATACTAACCATACTACTGACCATACTGGTTGACATACTAACCGCACACAATAACTAAACACAATCAGGAAACATCCCTACACATGTATGCAGATGATATGGTGATATGTTCAACCAGTCTGACAAGCCTCCAACAAGCCAGTTAACAGTTCTCTTTGCAGATTATACGAATATTCTTTGCAATAAAGAAACCGTAAATAGTGCAATATCAGATATATCAAATTGGTTCTGAAATTATAAATTATTAGTAAATGAAAAGAAATCTGTTTCAGTACAGTTTTCCATTTCAAATAAACAGCTTGACATTTCACTGAATATGAATGGTATGCCATTGACTGATGTTAAGATAACAACATTTTTAGGTCTTCCAATTCAGTCAAACCTTAAATGAATTTAACACTAAATTAAGTTCTTCATGCTACGCTTTCAGAATTCTTTCAAATTCAATCAGCCTCGACACTGCTCGTTGTGTAAGTTTCGCGGATGTTCATTCCCGCCTGAGATATGGCAAAACATTCTGAGGAAATACATCTTATAGCTTCCAGACTTTTAGATTACAAAAAATAATTGTACGAATAATAAGGAAATCCCACCCACGTGATTCTTGTAAGCCTCTCTTTATTCATCTAGATATTTTACCATTACCTTGTCTCTTCATACATGAATCAGTGGTTTTTGTCAAAAACGACTTACTTAAGGGCGGGAATATGTTTTCAGCAAACGCCGTTGTCTATAATTACAACACTCGATGTAGTAATCATATTCATCAGGTAAAAGTATCAACAGCTCACTACAAAACATTCACATATAATACATGTACATTATTTTACAACACATTGCCAGATGATATTAAACGATTGAAGTCGATACAAAAGTTGAAGTCCCAAGTAAAATCTTTTCTGCTACACAAATTTTTCTATACTATTAAAGACTATACCAAGCAACCAAAAGGAAAGTAATATTAATTTTAACAATGACATTTAATGTATTATATATCATTTGGATTGTATAATTGTAAAAACCCGTAACAAGTATTGTACTTCAGCTTCTGGGTCAATGACCCCCATCTCGATCAGGTTTTCGTCAAGTTTCCCTGATCGAGCAAATGCTGAGATGACCCCTTGTTTTGCTTCTGGATTGCTTCAAATGAACTTCTCCACATAGCACGTCACATACAATTTTAACTATTTTTTACGTAAATAAATAAATAAGCCATTGACAATTTAGAAACATGGGCATAAGAATACTTGGTTTTGTGGTTGGCATTTACAATGAAATAATTATATGAGTCGTCATTGCGAACCATATTATTTATTACAATAGCAGCTTTCGATGGCTTAGCCATCATCATCAGTTTTCTAGTACAAGAAGAAAAACAAAAAACATTAAAACGCAGGTATCAAAGTTTCATTCAAATCTTAGAATTCCTTAAAAAAATGCTGTCCCCCAAACAACACACAGATCTTTTAGAAAAAGGCGGCGTCTATTCACTAAATTGCCATGACTGCAAAGCCAAATATATTGGTGAAACGAGCAGAATTTGTAATACCAGAATTAAGGAACATATACGCGCTTGGAAATACAACACCTGTAAATCTCACTTTGCCAATCATTTCCTCCAGACAGGTCATACATTCAATCCAAAACAGATATTAGTATACTGGAAATAGAAAATCAATACCACACCAGATTAACTTTAGAAA